GGGTCAATGTTGGGGGGGGTCAGGGGTGTAAATGTGGGGGGTCAGGGGTGTAAGTGGGGGGTCAGGGTTTGATTACAGCACTAGGGTCAAGGTGGGGTCAGGTCACAGCCACCCCCCCTGGGGCTGCTCCCCCCGGCCAGCTGGGATCCCCAAAAGCTCCGGCTTTCCCCCAAAGCAGAGCCCCAGGGGGGCTCAAGAGCCCTCTCGCCGGAGCTGCCCTCCCTGGGGAGTTGCACAAACAGCTCTGGAAACATCCCCAGTGGGCCTGGCAGGAAAGGTTTCCCAACCCAGACCTCCCAAACCCTGGCTCCTGCAGGCAGGGAGAGACAGGTCCTCTCCTCTCTCCTTTTTTTTGTAGGAAACTGATCACGACTCTACCCACCACATCCTGGACCAAGGCCAGGAGCACAGTGGTCCCAACCACCCCCCTGGCATCCCCCCAGCCAGGTGACCCCGGGGCTCGGGCACATCCAAGGTCGTGGTCCTGCTGCTGTCGTGGTGTTGACGCTGCCTTCAGAGTCAACAGAACCCTCGGGGAAGGTGCAAAGTCTGTGCTGGCTGAGCTGGGCCCCCACGGGCACCCCCAGAGCCAGGAGGGGTGAGGGGAAGGGGCACCAACCTGGAAAGCACCAGCTCCAGGGTCACCCCAGCCCTGTCACCCCCTTTCACCGTGACCACCCAGGCAGTGCTCCCACCCACACTGGCTCTGGGATTGACCCCATGGGAGGTGACTCCAGTTCCTGACCACCCTCTGCAGGGTGAACAGCCACAGGTTACCTATGGCAAGGGTCAGGAGGCACCAGCCCCGAGGGGACAGCAAGACAGGGCTGGTTTGAGGTCATCCCTGCACCTCCCTCAAAAGCAACAGAGTGGGAGACAAGCCCAGAGGGGAAAGTGGCACTGGAGGCAGCCAGGTGGGTGGCAGGGGTCAGTTCTTCAGGGTCTGGAAGTGCTTCAGATGTACCTGCACCCTGGGTGCCCACACACAGCTCCTTGGTGTCCCCACCCACCTCCTGTCCACCCTTGGGACACTGACCCTGCCACTGTGCTCCAAACCCACAGCAACACTGATTCCAACACCCCAGGATCCCCCTTGAAGACTTAATGAACAAATAAATAAATACACCAAAGGGTCCCCCACACCCTCAGGGCTGAGCACTCCCTTTAATTCTGCCTGGGAGAAGGACAGGAACTTTGAGGACCATTACCTGTGACAGCTCCTGTCCTGCCAACCAGTGCCTGTGCCCAGCAGGACAGGAGGTAGCAGAGAAGGGGTGACTGCTGCTGGCTCTGGTCCCCACAGTCCCAGGGCAACACAGGGCACCACAACCATGTGGGAACAGGCTGTGATCCTCTTGTCAATCCCAGGATGGAGCTGTCATCATCACAGGATGGAGTAGGGCATCTGCTTGTCCTTGTCATCTCCCTGGCCCTTGCAGTGGTCTGTGCTGCAGCAGATGCAGAGTCCAGCCCCCCAGCACAGGATCCCTAGCCCAGCATCCAGCTCCTGCTGCCAGCACTGCTGGAATCAGCCCAGCTCCAGGTCCACTCAGAACTTCTTCCCCTGCAGCAGCTCCACACGAGGGGGGGGAGAGAAAGGGGCTGCATTAGCTGAGGGGATGTGGGATCCAGCCCTGCCCTGGGGTTCCCCTGCCAGCCTGGGGATGCCTGCAGCATCCTGCCCCCCACAGCCCCCAAAAGAGCTGATTTTTAGCCATCTTAGAAACCTTGCCCCCCTTCCCATTTTTAGTGCTGGCAGCTGAAATGGGGCATTTTAGGGCTGTTTGGGATAATGCAGTGAGGAGGAAGGTGCATGTGAAGAGCCAGGGTAGGGACAACCCCTCCCAGGACACCTTTTGGGGGCACTTTGTGTTGGGGGGATCCCCAAAGGCACAATAGTGGCAGGGAAGGTGGGTGAGGATGAGGAGTGGGGTGCCAGGGGAGGAAGGCTGGGTGCAGGCTGGGGATACTCACCACACAACCTTCTGGGAGCAGTGGGTAGGTGTCTCCTGGTAGCTCTAAAGGCAACTAGGTTCAGCAACAGGCAAGCATGAAGCCATCCTGACACCACTGTCTGTTCTAAAACATGTTAAAATTTCACCTCCTAACAGCATGGAGACTTGAGAAGAGATCTGAAGAGGCAGATACAAGAGTCACAAACAACATGTGGGCCAGCCCTGGAAGACAGGACGTGCTGAGAGGCTTAGCAGTTTATTTCTTGTGAGGTCCAGAGGCTTGAACTACACAGTTCAATTTGTTTGGTCTTTAAAAAAAGGTCATACTCATAAAACATGAACATTTTCAGTCATATTCAGCAACACCACAGCATGTTGGATTAGGACTACAGGAAACAAGGAAAGCATTTGAGCTAGAAAAAAAATAACAACAAACTTTCAGTCAAATTTCATGGATGCCTTTACACTTCCCAATAAAGTGCAAGTCAATTGCCCAGTTTGATTTCATCTTTATCCAGGATCAAACTTAAAAGAGTAAATATTTTGTTTCAGAAGCCATACATATGCATATATATGCAGATATGTATGTGGGTGTGCATGTGTGTGTACAAATCAAAACCATGCTCCAAACAAGATGCTAGAAAGTCTTTTTACTTGCATTCTTTTAGACAGCACTTAATTGAGATTGTAACAACTTGTTCTTAAATCAAGGTGGGAGATCAGACAGGAAAGAAAAAAAAGATAACACCACTTCTTTTTCAAATGTCACATTTAATGTTTTCACCACTGTACTTCAAATCTACATTTTACAAAGTGACCAGCAAGTGTGCCACATTAACTGACCAACCTCTGAGATTTTACCTTTCATACCAGTGTCTTCTTGGGCTCTTTTAATTAAACACGTTGCTCATTCAAGTGAATTAAAATGCTTGAGTTGGTTTTATTCTCAGGAGCCTCATAAAAAACAAAGATATTGCACCATCTTTGTTCAGTTATTCAATGTTTGTCTCTTTCACAGCAAATAATTACTTCATTGAAGTTAAAACTTCCAAACATAACTTACTAATAGTCTCCAATTTCAGCTCAGATCACTCTTGTTGAAAATACTCTGCTAAATACAGATAACTTACAATAACTTTAACAGTTAATTGTCCATAACAAACACCACAGTTGTTTTTTTCTCCAGACCAATGCTCAAATTTTAAGACCACCCTTTTCAGTTTTTCTTTCTACAGGTGAAAAACAGTCTTCAATTTTCTAGTCTCGTTTTAAATACAAAAGTTGGAAGGGACATTCAAGTTTCAAGTCTCCACACTGAACTTAAAAATAAAAAAAGAAAACAAAAATATCATGTGGAGGTAAACAAACCAAGTTGTATAACTCCAGGAGGTAGAGGCCTTCAATTTGTGTTCATATATACATATGCACAGAATTCAGTGTTCCAACAGAAAAAAGAATTAGCCAAAAAGTAATAAAAGTTATTTACTACTGTGACATTTCAAGACTTCCACAGCTTTGCCTAAAGACACAAACACAATTAACATAATTCCCTATGTGCTTTTTTTTTTTTCTCCTTTTTTTTCTTTTTTTTTTTTTTCTCTCTCAACTGTCCAGTGCAGGAAAAAGTTCTCACAAAATTTCACAGACCTAAAATGTGCAAGCTAGTTTTCTCTCTATACAGCAATGATGTCAGGGATCTCTGAAATTAGCCCATAAATGGAATTATTTACACACATAGAAGATGCATGCTGGGGGGTTTTATGTAAGAAAGAGCAGAAAAACTTCTAATAAAAATAGATTAAATATATATATATTTATACTGGGTAAGGAAACAGAAGTTTAGTCTCTCCTAGTCACAAACTCATTCTCTCTACTCACAACATTTGATTTTAGAACAGCACACATCACCATCACAGCTCTAGTGAGAAGCTATTTATAGGACTGGATCACCAGGCAATGTGCCCACCCAGGGTGGTCACTGCCATCCCAAGGGACTTCATGATTGGTCACAGTCAAGTTTTCTGTATTCCTTAGTTTTAGAAAACCCCAAATCTTCAGGAATGGCTCAATATCAAAATGTAGGTCTGTTTGTACAATCTCACTTTGATAAAAATAAAATAAAGAAAAAAACAAAACAAAACAAAAACAAACCTCCCCAAATTTGGTTCAATTCTGTTTGTTCTGAGCTGAGCCATCACAGCTGCACTAGAATTCATAAAACACGTGCAACTCTGGGTAAAATATTTTCTTCTAAAAGCACAACCACTTTACAAGATTAAAAGTCTAGTACATTTCTAAATATTATTCATATTGTACAAGTAGTGGTTGTTAATTTAAAACTTCATTAGTAAAATTACAGTACAAGCATAATTAACCTCCAGAATTGCAAATCCCAGACTCCAGTGGAAAGCTACATTACATCTTCAGTAGTATATTATCTTCCACTTTACTCCCAAACCAGTGGAGATGGTGGCATCTCAGATGGTTGAGCAACTGTGGAACTAGAAGGCAGGTGATACAGAAAATCAGTGTTCATTTGCAATAGGTAATAGACAAGAAAGTTAATGCTCAACCAGTAAGCAAACATTTCATAGAAAACAAAAAGCCCCACCAAAAGCAAACCAAAACAACTCCGGACCAACACTTAACATCACTGATAACAAATCTTTTGCTATACTTTATCTACTTATTTTCTTCATGATTTTTCATCTATTAGCCATTCATATTTTCCCAGTGCAATTCTACAATCAAAATTCAACTTGTCAACCTGTCAGTTCTAATGTTGATCCTGACTTCTCTACTTTTCTGCAAAAATATTACTTGAAACTTTTGCATATTTTACTTAAATTGTAAAATAATTCAAAGAAGTATTTTTAAAATGTAACCATACAAGTTGTTTGTTGTTGTTTGGTTTTTTTTAGAAGTTACCTATGGGTTTTCCCTACTTTCAGAAACTTAAAACATTCTGGATATGCCAATTCTGTACTACTAATAAATGTGAATTAATATCAGATGTGATTACATACAGTTACCTAATAAAGCTCTTAAAAGCAGCAGACTGAGGGTTGATGCAGAGAGGCACTCTGTTTCCTTTCTGCTGTTCCAAAATGAACTGATGAATTATTTCTGTACAAAGGAGGAAAATAAAAAAACACTGTTAAGACTTGTTGCCTCACTGAAGTGCATTGGAGAGCAGATGAAAATGTATCTTCTTGAAAACAGGTGTTACTAAGGATAAAAGAATTTCAGCTTCCCTACATCTAACCTGGTACCAGATCTGAGAGCATAAATTCACACAGAACTCTTACATGAAGACTGAAATAAGTGTATAAAAAATAAACCCATAATTACCCCTAAAATACTAGTTATAGATAATATCCCAATTTTGGGGTTAGTGTGTGGATCCAGGCTGCATGTTTATGGGACAGAGCAGGTTGAGAAATGCAGATGTGAAGGTTCTGCTACTCACCTTTAACCTGCCGAACAGAACTGAGGTTCTTCTCAAAAGTGTCATCAAATTTGGGATTAGTTACAGGTTCAAAATCACTCGTATAAACTCTTCCAGTAGATGTGGAAAAACAACATTTACACATACAGGTGTGATATCTCAAGCGCCCTTCGTCGAGATAGGGGTGAGCTAAGGCATCCTTAGCAGATATTCTTTTGGACTGAAATGTGGAATTGAAATAAAAGAAGAGTTAGCAGATATTTGGAACAGTCTAAATTTACTTATCAATTTATTCTAAAATCGTTTTCATAACCCCCTAATCAGGTTAAAGGATTAGCTCAGGTTTTCAGGCTTGCCCAGGCTGCCACTAGGGGGAAGGTTTTGCTTAAAAACAAGCTGCTCTGCCACGATGACATTGACCTCTCTGTGCTACAGCTAGAAAATGTAGCTAATGTGATTGTTAGAAATAGTTCTCAAGAATTCCTTCCTCTGGATAACCTTAAAACTATGACTTCTATAACAAATCAAAATAACCCCAAAGAAAGCAATGTTAGCAATGATGGCATTTTGTTGGGTCCATACTTTGCAAAACATTTTCATGTGCCCTTAAATACATGTTTGAAGCACAACACAACTTCAGGCATCACAGCTGACAGAGTCATTCAGGATATGGCATCTGTAGTTCTCAGGAACCCTCTGCACATCAAGTTGCAGAACACAAGTGGTCAAAGAAGTGCAGGAAAAGGGGTCAGAGCAGTGGTTTAAATTACAAAGGTGACTTCCACATCAATAAGACTTCTTTTGTTCATAAGCCAAGTAACTCAGTCTCCAGGTGTCCAACACCAACCCATTAAGGAAGGAGAAGACCACCTGTTTCTAAAGAATTGCACAGAAATGCTGCTGCAAATTCATGGAGCAATGAAACCCATAGTTTTAGGTGAATTAGAACACAAACAGAACAAAAATTACTTGCTCAAAATCACAGAGCAAGAGCAATGGCAAAGCTTGGTACAACCCAACTGCTCCAATTCCCAGGATGTTTTTTAGATGGAATTAAAATCACCTGTTCTATTGAAAAAATAAAACCACATTTATTTAAATGTGATTTGAGAATAACAGCATCCTAAGTGTTAAGTGAGTCAGAAAGGAAAAAAAATAAGTTGTCTTCATGGAAGTTATGACTTAACATTTCAATGGTTTTGTTCAGTAAAGCAATCTTAAGGCTTAAAAAAAAAATAATCAAAGGCACTGCCTTCTGAATGCTTTCTCAGTTACAAGCTTGCTCCTTTGCAGTTCAATCTGTCTGTTTTTCATTTGAAATGTTACAGGTTTTTCTGTAAGTAGGAAATAATTAAGACCATTGATTCAGGTATCAGCTTTTCTAGTGACAATTTTTTATAGTAAGCCCAAGATATGAAATCTAAAATCCACAGCAGCACTTTTTTATTAAAAAAACAGATGCTCAGTGGGAAAAAAAAAAAAGATCCTGTTATGTGACTGTGTGGATGTAGAAGGAATTTTTTTCTATGTTGCAAGACCATGAACACCCACACATCTCTAATTAGAACTGCATCAAAGTATCTGATGTTCTGCTACCTACACCTAGCTAGGAAAAGACAGCATGATTCATGAACACCCTCATCTTTCTCACTCCATCATAGCTTTCTTCAAAAGGCCACTAGATTTTACATGCACAACCCCAATTCCAGGAGGAAATTAATGGACTAATTATAAGATGGTCCTTTCAGGTTTTTTACAGACACAAAAGTACTGAAATACAAGGCAGAAGAAAGGCAGTTAAAGCAGTCCTTGACTTCAAAGAGTCATTTATGTAGCAGACAACAAAAACTGTTAAAACAAAAAAGTATTAGAAGTGATTTTAAATCCTACTTACTGGATCAAAGACCAACATTCTGCAAAGGAGATGAACTGCTTCATGTGTAGCTTGACTGGAAAGTGTATATAGGACAGGAAGGGATGGCTGTAGGGGAAAGAGGAGAAAGGGAAGTACAGATAGTTGTCTTGTCAGATCCATCAGCAAGAACACACTGTTACAGCACGTGTTATTTTATAGTTACCAAGGACAAACTTCTCCTTAAAAAGGACATGCACTTCCCAACACTTCCCAACAAACACTGTTACAAAACTCAGCAGTTGGAATAGGGATCTGTTGGGGTATTTTTTCCCCTTAGTTCAGATCTAATCCCTGGGCAAACCTGTATTTTATTTATTTATTTGTTTGTTTTTCTCCAGAGACACCAATTTAAGCTGTAGCTACTCAGAGGTTTGATTAACCACATCATTTCCAGTATTTCATTTTTCTGATCTCAATCATTGCCAGATTATGGATTATTTTGCTTTTCCTTACCCAGACGATCCATATCTAACTGGCAGTACAATGGAAATGACCTTCAGGCATACAGCACTTTGCATAAACAGGCTTGGAGGTCTGGGGGAGGGGAAAAGAGGGTTCAGTGAACCCCCCCCTTCTTTTCTAGTGCAGCACTCAGGGCACGAGCTGCAGTTGCCAGTTCAGCAACTTTATCAATTCACTTCAATTCCAGTTTGAAGTAAATTTTTTAAATAAAAACAAATGACAAAGAAGCCTACATAATATATTCATTTTCATTATGCCAAGACCCAGTGGGGTGTTTTTTGTTTTTTTTTCATTCTGAAACTTCATGCATTAAACTGTTTTCACAGAAAGCAGCAAAATGCTTTACCCCTTAAATCCTACTGTGCTCACCTACACTGATTAAAAATAGTTTGCACGACAAAGTAATTACCAGTTTTTAGCTTGGTTTTCTCTCTCTATTAATCTAATTAAGAACCTGGTAACATTTAGCTATTTATAACCAGCAAAATCTCCTCTTGAGAAGATGAGAAGCCACGAATTTGCATTCAAACATGAGTGTGTTTGAAGTTGAAAACAGAAATATCATGAAAGAAGAATCCACTAGATGGATGTCTTGGAAAACTCCCTGTTTTCCAAGTGGCCAAGGAACACACCAGCTCCAGAGACTGTTCAGCTTCTTCAGCCCTCCATGAAAAATGAATGTTGTTTCCTTCAAGAGGCACAGAACTAACTGCTTGTAGTTTATTTCCTATGACCTAGTGGCTACAGGACATTACATCTGTATTAGAAACATTTTGCACCATTTCATGTCACTTGCTTTTTAGAATTCCCAACGTTCAGCGGGTCAAGAGAGACACAGTTCCAGTAGCACTGGGACTAGAGTCAGAAGACAATCTGACTCTTGACAAAACATCCTGGTTTAACAAACTGGACTAGGCTAACAAATTCCAGAGCTCTTGCTCACTGCTACCAAGAGCACAACTGCTGCCCCTTGGAAATGCCAAGCGATTATCACATTATCAGAATTTTAAACCAATGTATTCTATAAAGTATCTGGATGTATTTCTATCTAGTTGCATATTTATATAAGTACAGTGGATGCCAGCTTCAATCACTATAAAACTCAGTTGTTTTTTAAAAAACATCCCAAAGCTTGAAAGTGCAGGACTATGTGCTGAAAAGTTACGGTTCTCCTAATGTGAGAGAGCAAAAAATAAGGAGACTTGGTCTCAAAGCTGGTAAAGAAAGTCTTAAGGAAATCCTCTTTATTAATAATGTGAAAAGAAAAAAATAAAAAAGCTTGTCATAAAATGGAATAGAGATGCACTTGATGTAGTGCATCAAAAGTGCCAAGGAGGCAGAACTCCCACGTTACTAATATAGCAGAATCTATATTCAATGCTCATTTCTATGGTAACTACTATTGTGGTGAGTAGACAGTTGAGAAATTACTTCAACGAGCAGAAAATAAAGATGCAAACTTAACTACTCTGATGTATTAACATGTCCAGGTCATTAATTTTGTTAATTTTTACTATCTAACAATCATAAAAAAGACCATATTGGATGGATGCACTGCTGGATTACTGGGCTACGGATTCCTGCATAAGCATTTCTTTGTATCTATTAACAGTACATTTCATTTGTCCTTTTTTTTCTCTCCAGTCAGCATAATGACATCACCCTGCCTTTTTTCTGTTGTTTGTATGTTGTTGGTGGGTTTTTTTTAATTAACTTTTACTTCAGTTACTCTGAATGTTGTATTCAGGTGTTCAGCATCTTGTGAGGCCTTTCCCAAACAGCCAGGTCACAGAATGCTCATTTCTATGGTAACTACTATTGTGGTGAGTAGACAGTTGAGAAATTACTTCAACGAGCAGAAAATAAAGATGCAAACTTAACTGATGTATTAACATGTCCAGGTCATTAATTTTGTTAATTTTTACTATCTAACAATCATAAAAAAGACCATATTGGATGGATGCACTGCTGGATTACTGGGCTACGGATTCCTGCATAAGCATTTCTTTGTATCTATTAACAGTACATTTCATTTGTCCTTTTTTTTCTCTCCAGTCAGCATAATGACATCACCCTGCCTTTTTTCTGTTGTTTGTATGTTGTTGGTGGGTTTTTTTAATTAACTTTTACTTCAGTTACTCTGAATGTTGTATCTTAGTGTTCAGCATCTTGTGAGGCCTTTCCCAAACAGCTCAGGTCACAGCTCAGATGTGCAAGGGGACTCCCTTGGTGATGAGTTGCTGGGCTGCTCTGTTGGTGGAGCTGAACAACAGGAGATCTCCACTTGTAACACTCTCCATCCTGTCAGTACAGGAGTCCCTTGGGGGCATTCTGAGCTATACTGTCAATTTTCATTTATGTCTCCTGCCAATATTATCACTTAAATTTAACATTGTCCCTCCACATAGCTATCAAAATGCTGTTGCTTCAAAAAGAAGGAGATTTTCACTTGCATCAGCAAGCTAAATAATACAAAAGACAGAAGCCAGGGATGTACTTTGTTGGTGAAAACCCACCATCTCAACAGCAGTTTGACCAACTGCCCTGTTAACCCACAACACTGTGACACCACGAGCAGCCCTGGTAAAGTCAACCCAGTTGACAAGCAGCGACAGCCCGAGATCGACCATCCAAACCAAACATGCCATGAGAGATGAAACAGTGCAAAAGCAAGAGGATCCTGCTCTGATGAAATCTGAGCTTGGAGGAGCTGAGTGAAGGACAGTGTTGACCAACAGAGCAGGGAGCTCCAGCCCTACCTGTTTATGAGGACTCCTGAGTATATGTGCCTTGGCGCCTTCACACGCCGTCCGCATCGCTTCCAGCGACGGCGTCCCCAGCAGGTCTGTGATCAGATCCAACTGCAGGCACAGAAAAGACAGTTGAGATCTTGGGCAGATATCAATATATTTCACTATCAGAGCAGACTCTTAAGGGACCACAACATTTCAGGTATGATTCAGTTCCAAACCACTACTGCAGGGACAGAGTAAGTCACAAACACCAACGTTCACACTTAGTCGATCACAAGTGGAGCCACTTGTCATTTCACTGGAAAAGCCCTCACAGAAGCTGATTTTCAACTTTGGGAGCTTTTTTTTTGTTGTTGTTTACAGGCTTAGTAAAACACTTTATTGGAATTTAAAAGTCAATTTTACATCATTAATAAAACTGGTAAGTAGTGTTAGTGGTGTGTTACACATGACAAACCCAGATGTTCTCAACTGAATGTCAGCATTGCCTACCAATATACCACACAAAATCACTCCAAAAATCCAAGTCAACTACTACTTTACACAAAATGTTTTGCCATCAACAGAAATAAAACTATAGGAAGTGGGGAAAACCCCCAGAACTACAATACAAACACACTATGTAAAAAAAATCATATATATAAGAAAAATAAGTTTAAAAAATCCTAAATCTGTCCAGCACAGGGGAACGAAAAGGAGTGGTGCTGGTTTAAGGAAAACAAAAGCTACCTAAAATAGAGCAGAGATGATGCTGTGTTTAAAACTGGCCTCAACTTTAATTGAAATTGACATTTCATTCAACTTTGTCATTTTGGAAAGTAACAGACAAGCTTTCACTTTATTTCTACAAAAGTACCTGCATATACTCCTTTTGTGAGCCAAAACAAAAAAAAACCTTGTAGGAGTGAAGCAAAGTGAAAAAAAAAAACAGGCTTGTCAGTGGTGAGATCAGCACCAAGGTTCCAAGAGTTCCCTTGGGACCACCCACACTAACAAGCAACTGCAGAGATCTCCTCTGAGAATAAACCCATTATCAGCAGTGCCCAGCCCTGGATGTGTGAAACCCTCCCCTGCCTGCTGGGATAACTGGGAAACATGACTGGTGTTCCCAGCTCACACTGACCCTGCTCTCCCCCTAAGTGCTCCTCAGAACCTGAACATGTTCCTCCCTCTTGCCAGGGCCAAGGTGCCTTCAGAGAGCAGTGACAGTGTCTGTATGGAGATGGAAAACAGCATGGAGGAGGGGGTGGGGGAAGAAAAATCCTAAACCATGAGGTTTTTAGGTGAGGAAAATATATAATTGAAAAAAGGACACATGGAGCTGATATAATAAAAAACCAATGTATTTACAGATTATAAATTACAGCAGCATATGTGGGAATGTGAACTGCAGAAACACCTGCATTTCTTAGCCAACCACTCCTGAAGCAATGATACGTTAATATACATTTATATCTCTATATATAGAGATACAGACATAAATACATATACTTTACTCTAATGGTTATAAGGAAAAACACTGAAAACAACTTCCATAATGATCTCTTGAAAGTTCACGTTTAATATCTCTGGAGATCCAGACTCTCTTGTCTTAGCCCCTACATTTCCAACACGCTCCCAGAAGAGTTTTGTTAAGAGGTCTGATTTCATCTATCTAGATGCACATCAGCAGTCATGAAACATGTTTTTCCAGAGTATTACAAAATAACTTTTGAAATTGTAGAGTAAAAATAGAAAAAAATATTACAAAACATTATATTTTAATCCAACTGGCCTCAGCTGTGGGGATTTCAAATCTTTTGGGTTTATACAGTGAACCTACACTATGACATTATTCTTCTGGGTCAGGAGAAGTGCACTTGCAAAGCTGACTTATCAGCTGCTGCCACAACCTTTGTCCTGGTTTGCAATGGGTGTCCTGGAGCACAGAGACTGGGCTCCCCTTAGATAAGAATTGGGGGGTACACTTCATGAAGCCATCTCAAGGTTCTTCCTCTGCCCATGGGCAGCCAGGCTGTGCCCGCACTCAAGGCACATCCCCACTCTGAACTGTGGAACACAGGGTGTCAGGTCCTCAGCACCAACCACCTGGCTCTGCAGACCCCTTCCTGCTGCTATGCACTAAACACACAAATTTTGATGAAGTCACAGAATCACAGAATATGCTGAGTTGGAAGGGACCCATCAGGAACATCCAGTCCACCTCCTGTCCCTGTGTGTGGCACCCCAAGAATCACATCATGTACCTGAGAGCACCATCCAAATGCTTCCTGAACTCAGGCAGGCTTGGTGCTGTGACCACTGCCCTGGGGAATTGTTCCAGTGCTCAACTACCCTCTGGGTGAAAAACCTTTTCCTGATATCCAACCTCAACCTGCCCTGATTCAGCTTCCTGCCCTTTCCCTGAGCCTGGTGCTTGGTCACAGGAGTGAAGAGGTCAGGACCTGCCCCATCTCTTCCCCTCATGAGGAAACCATGGACTACAAGTCAGGAATACAAATGTGCTACCCAGTGCCTTTTCCAAAGCAGAGTGCAGACTAGTCTTTACAGCAAGAGGAGAAAAGACATTTGCTCCCACTGCTAGTCAGGAAGTCTGAGATCACCTTCCCTGCACTAAATAGATGTATTAAATGTTTCTGGACATACAGCTAAAAATAACTTGTATTTGCATCTTTAGAAAGGCACTTAAAATAATCAAAAGATTGTATCAGCTATATAACATTTAAAGAAATTTCCATGCCTTCTTAGACACTTACCATCACCAAAATGAAGGAGTCTGAGCAATACTAATAGTGCTGGAGTTGATATAGTAGGGTTAATGGTTGGACTTGATTATCTGAGAGGTCTTTTCCAAACTAAGTGATTCAATTATTTTATGAATTGGCAATTTAAATAGTTCAAATAGCAACACTATCTCTCCAGTTACATCTTGACAGAAAACTTACTACTTTCTGGCATCAGCTGTTACAAAAAGCTTGATCCTGGTTATATCACCTTTACCTTATCTCAATGAAAAGCTACAGCAGGCCCTGGTCCTGCAGCAGATTACAAGGGATTAAAAAATAATAATACACATTTCAAAAGCTGAAATTAATAACCACTACTTTTAATGCTGTCTGGAAGCTATCATTTCAGTGCTTCAGAGTAGCCTGGGGTTTTTGCCTAAACAAAACAAAACAAAAGCAAGTTTGAAGTTCAAAAATGCACCCGTGTAACCAATTCCATGAAATCATGCAGTAGGAAAAGCAGTTTTTCAAGGGAAACATTAATGATACCTGCTGGATGGGACTCTGTGCCTGAAACAATATTCTTCTCCCAAGTAATTCTGCAAAGATGCAGCCTACAGACCAGATGTCAATGGCATTGCTGTAGTGCCTGCTGCCCATCAGGATCTCGGGAGCTCGGTAATACTGAGTGACAACTTCCTGAGTCATGTGGCGGGATTCGTCTAACTCTTCCACCCTGGCCAATCCAAAATCACAAATCTAAATTGAGAAGGTAAATAAAAAAATTAAAATAACCAAAACACTTCATGCATTTCAAAGAGGTAACCTCCTGGTAAGGAAGCAGGAAATTCCAAATCAGCAGTTTAGCAAAGCAGATTTCTGCTGTAACTGCATAAGCGAAGGGGAAGGGGAAAAGAAAGGAATTATGCTACTTTATTCCACATCCATTTAACCTTTCTACAATTTTATTTGAAATTACAGTACATTTTTACTTGTCATTACAATATTTAGTCATTGAAAAGGCTAAAAAACCACTCTGCACTAAAAAATAAAATACATATTGCCAAGCTCAGAGTACAGAATATTTCATCCCAAAGCAGATTTCATTTGTTCGTGACACACCTCAAAATGTTACAGAAAGATTTAGCCTTTTACACCTTTTAGCTTTGAGAATTTTTACACATCTCTTGAACCAGGCGTAAGAAAACAGACTAAAATTTTCACAATTAGAATGTTTAGCCAATCAGTGCAAACAAAACTTAATGCTTTGCTGTTTGGCATTGCTATACAACCCAAACTCTCCAAAATTTCACGCATCTGAGAAGTTCATGGCAGAGTATGGTCTCTCCTTTGGCCAACATTTGCTTTTAAAATGGCCATTTCCTTTTCAAATGACTTTAAGGAAGAGTCTGATTTATAATGAACAGCATAAACATATGTACATTTTCAAGAAATTTAAGTAGCACCTTAAGAACACAGTTGCTGTTCACAAGTAGGTTCCCTGGTTTAATGTCTCGATGTAAAATGCCAGCAGAATGGAGATATTTCAGACCTGAAATATTAAACAACATAAAAATAAATACCTTTTTTTTTTTCCCCCCTTTTAAAATAAGACATTTAAGGCTGAAAACATTTTCCTGGAAGCTCTTGCAACTCCTGATCAGCAAAGACTTTGCCATTGGCACATTTTTTACACAACTCTAACATCCAGTCTCTAGTCTACACTCTTGCCACTCAATGAAGCAATAAAACTTTTGGAGTATACAAACTAGACAGAGCATGTAATTTAAGTAGTCTTTTTTCCATTAAAACAAACAAAAACAAACCCAAAACATCCTCTCCCTGTTCATGACATGGATACTCTGGCTAATCACAACACTAGAATATTGACATGTACACTGTTCTGACTCCCAGTAACAATTTTAACTTCTGCAGCACTAAAATTTGACTTAATTATTTCCTGCTGCACTTCAAAAATAAACTCAAATTAAACCCAAGATCATTTGCTTTTTTTTTTTCTTTTTAAACTCACTTTTTTTTTTTCCAAACTAAAACCTTATAAACCAGCAGCACAAGGCTAAGACAATATAGGCCCAAAGTGCAGTACACTCAACTTTTAGTGCAAAAAAACAAAGTTTAGAGTTATTGAATTGAGGGATCTGATCACAGCCACTGGGGATGTTTCCAATATTTAGGTGGTTGGGCAAGAAAGACAACCTGTGCTTCCTGTGGTGCTTCCACAGCCCCTAACACTATAATGCTGATTAAAAAAATGAAAGTAATGCAGAAAGCACCTCACTAGAAAGCAAAGTGGAAGAAAGTACAGCAACACCAAGTTGTTAATGCACATGAACTACAGTAGTAGACAAGGCATGAAAAATGGCAAAACGGCCAAAATTTGAGCAGGGTCAGATAGAGGAAAATTAAGTAATAGCAGGAAACTGGGGAACATTGAGCCCTCAGGTCAAACGGCATGAAAATTCAAGTAACTCTGGAACAAACTTTAACTGACAGTTTTGCATTGCCATTTGGATGGAAATGAGAGTGCTGAGTGTTCCCCAGTCATCATAAACTCACTAATCAGAGGCACAAACACCCTCTCTCCTTTAGGAGTATAAAGCTTTTCTCTAGCACAACAGGTACCTGAAATAGCCCATAATAATTCTGGGTATAGCTTAGATTTCTTGCTCTGCTCTTTATTAATACAATCTTCTGTTTCTTTAATACAAGATAAAACTGACTGTTTATTTTCAGCTTATTCCAGTTAAAACACTCAACTAAAGCCAATGGAAAAGCATCTGGACTAACACTGATCAGACGTTCAAAAGACAAACACAATGGATTACTTGAATAAAAGTTTCCAAATGGGTTAAAAAAAATACATCAAGTTTAAAATTACTATTATGGTAAATTGTTTTAGCTAAAAATCAAACTTCAATGGACTGTTCTGTAACAATTTAAACTAGACTTAAGTGGGTATAGTTCCATATATTTATCAGTTTGGCTCAAACTAGGAGTCCTTTGTGTACCTCGATTCAAAAAGCACTGGGGGACTGTTAAAACACACCCACCCACCTTAAGACTCTCTCCCAGGCCATTGAAAAAGCCTTTGCAGCTGAAGCAGAAGTCTTGTCATCTTTACCCATGACTATGGTGGAAGGCAGCAGGGCTGCTGTACACAAATAACTAGAATAATTAACCCTTGTTATTAATTTGTAATATGAAATAAAAAGAACAAGTTTCCACAGGAAATTTACTCAAGCTGAGGATGTCTTCAGAGTCAACATTAAGAAACAGGGGGTGGGGAAAAAGCAAACCCAAAACCTACATGATTTCCATCACATTTAAAAGAAGAAAAATTACCTCTTAAAATCTGGTAAAGAAAAACTTTGACATGATCCGAGCTGAGTGGCTGAGGAGACACGATAATCTTATGGAGGTCACTCTGCATCAATTCAGTGACAACATATCTTCAATTTATTAGTTAAGGCAAAAGCAGAAAGTCCAGCACATAATCTCTTGAAACATTTTACTCTAACTCCTAGAAATCTGAGCTCTTACAGGTCAGAGCTATAGAGTATAAAAAGAAGCTTCTTCAGAGGTCAAGTCTCCAGACTCTTACAAGAATGAAAATAAAAAAAAGGGTTGTGGAAGAAAAGAGATTACTCAGTGAAGTGCTGATTGCATGACAGTAGTTGTGACAAAATTATTCCAAAATCAGATTATGACCGAGAAAACAAAAGAAAATGTTCATTTCATTAATGGCATCTTGCAACCTTCACATTTTTCCTTAAGGTCAGTCCACCACAAAGTACCAACAACTAAGGGACAGTCTTCACTGTGGAGACACATCAAGGTGGCTTCACCAGCCACAGTGGCAAGTGCAAGTCTGTGGCAGTTGGTTCCCAAGTGCCTTGCAGGTTGCTACATGATCAATAATGCAAACTTTCTGAAACACCCTTCAGCCACCCAGTACCCTCTGCTTTACCTTCTCAAGCACCATACATACATGCACACAAACCCTAGACACCCCTTCTGAGATATAACAGGAGAAGGAAGAAAAAAACCAACCAACTTCTATCTAGAGGAGAAATTAAACAAGTAAACAGAAAATCACTACTTCATGGACTCACAGACATGCAGGACCCAGCAATAGTCATGCTCACTGATCATTTACACAAATATTTGATACAATGAGGTATATGTGCTGTGGCTTTTCCTAAGGTAAGGTGTGGATTAAGAAGGTGATTGTGTTTGTTCAGGAAGCACAAAAAATCCTAACAACATAATGTTTAAAGAAAATGGAGCAGTAGGGAAGACAGAAGCAGCACATCTTAAGCCAGCAAACCAGTATCACAGTGGCAGTTCCTTGCTTCTGTTACAGCAATAAAACACGTGCAAAAATCATTATAAGTCCTGGGGACACTGCAGCCCTTCCGTGCCCAGGAGTTGCAGGAGGCAGTGGGTGACACTTCCCTGTGGCCAGGAGAGAAGCCTGGTGAGGTGCAGAGCAGCTGCCCCTGCTGTGTGCACCAACACCCCTGGAGAGATAAGTTTTGATTTTGGAGCTGAGGTTCAGGACAGAGTTTAAAGCCAAACCACTGCACCTCGACTTTCAAGAAGCACTGAACTTAGTGAGAATTTTCAACTTGAACAACAAATAAGCTTGCTAAGAAACACTACTGGTTTAAAACCTACTTTCAGCAGTCCTATTTGAAACAAAAATCTCTACCATGATTACATTTGTATCTGGAGAATGTAAAACACAGTAGCTGTATGTTAATATACTTCCACTTTACAGCAAGGTATTGCATACCTCACAAGACCCCTGCATGATGAGTCCCACCAAGCCCTGCAGTGCTCAGAGCAGGCAGAACTGCAGCAGAGAGGAGGTGCACCACTGCCAAGGTCATGCAAAAGATCAAGGAGAGAGTTAGAAATTAAACTGGATCTCCTGGGCCTCAGTCAAGTATCTCCCATGATGTAGCAGGTTCATTCACAGTTCAAGGTAAGGAGCAGTCAGCTCTCAGCCTTCCAAACCCACACACTCCTCAGCTGGAAGGGGCAGCAGCAGCTCAGCCCTCCCCAGGCACTACCTGACCTCTGCCAGATGTCCAGCTTTGCCTTCCCCTCTGCAGGAAGAACCAGAGTTTGCTGTGCTGGAGGAACTCACACCCCGTTCTGCTTCTCATGCACAAGCTCTGCTGACTTCACAAAATCATCAACCTCATGGTGGTGTTTTCATGACTGTGCCATCCTGACCTTCCCTGGGAAAGCAAAGCTACCTGGGCCAATGCTGAGGGATATGTTTGGGGTTTAAATCTCACCATGATCCAGTTGGAGCCTTTCAGCTGGTTCAATGCTCTTAATAACCAGCCCTGCTACCTATCAAGGCTGAAATATAATAGCAACCCTGATTTCAGTGAAGATACTTATCTCTTGGTAACAGAGCAAGCAAGTCAGCTTCAGCAGAAACCTCTACTTGTTCTTACCATTGTCACCAAGTAAATGGCACAGGTCAAGTTGCACTTAAAGCAATCTAGAGAAAACCTGTATTTTCTTTATCTCTACCTAATCCATGTTCTCCTTCCATCTGTTGCTCTGCAAACCCAATCCAGCCAAATCCTTATCAGCCAAATTGCTGATCTGCCATCAGCACACCAGACAAAATTATTTTAGAAATTACATGTTGCCAACCTTTTGACCAAAAAAAAACATCCAACCCCCAAATTAGACTTGCATGCATAAAGAGAAAAGCCTGCAGCACCGTAATTTCTAGCCCTCTAATTTTTCTTTTCCTTTTGCAAAGGCCCTCTTAAATATTTATACTGACCTTTTCAAATTTGGGGGTTTTTTACCTTACGGCTGCAACAGATCTTTTAATTTTTAATATCAAATATTTTAAAAACCCAAAAGCATTACTCTGCACTTTATGATGATAAGATTTCTGGTTTGCTACGCCACAAATCCTCCTAAATCTCAATCCCAAGCATAATGTCTCCCAGATGTCTCAACTAGTTGCCATGCCAACTAAAGCAGCTTAAATTAAATGAGGGCCTGAAATGGCACCTGCACCACTCCAGGTCTGTTGCGCATTAAATAAAGCTCTCTTGACAGGGGCTCAGAGGTGCCATTAACTTGAACAGCAGCTATCTGATTATTGTCTCTAGATAATTTAATGAGGGTCTCTAAACAAGAGCAAAAGCAGCACTTGCTTGGTGTTCCTGCCTTTTACAAACGTGGCAGCTTCTGAAACAGCTGGTATCCAAGTGAGTCAATGACTTGACTCCAGCCAGGACTAGAAATGTTTAGCAAAAAACCAAAAAAACCCTCTGGGATTTCTATCAACTGCTCCAACAGGTCCCTGCAGTTTTCTTCTTGAAGTTGAATGGTAAAAAAATCCTGGCTGGGAGGTGGTCACTGGAGCTGGAACATGCAGCTAAGCTGAACATCCCTACCAGATAAAAATTGCTACTGACAGCAGTAATTAGTTAAGTAGCTGCATAAAATTAGAACTACAAATGTACTAATTTGCTTCAGAATAATTATCAAGGCAAATGCACAGCACAAAGGAACTTCACTTACTCTGCTGACTGGGAGACCTGCTGAGTTTGTAAACTGTACAAAGTGACAGGCAAATTTTAAAAAGGAATCAAGCACAGTCTGTGTTGGGTAGTCTTATAATGACTTGGATTCTTCTTCAGTAGGTCTCTGCATACCTCAAAACTCCTTTCCAGAGACTGTTTTTCTGGGAAGAGACCAGCACTCTATGCACAAGTTCTGGGGTAGGTGGATTCTAACAGTGGAGTGGAAGTGTCTTTCTGCATGATACTGTAAGAAACATGGTTTGTTTGGGTTTTTTAAACAAAACAAATGTTATATATTTTAGGATTTGCTATAAAATGTGGAGAAGGTATTTTCTCCTAGTTTAGTATACTTTAGTTTCACTTGGTTTTAGGTTAGGACCATATCACATTTAGCTTGTGATGCCACCTCTGTTCTCTTCTCTTTGCAGACTTTATAGCTTCCTAACAGAAAACATCCTCATTTCATAACAATAACTAAATAATGAATGAAAAAGCCCTAGTCCATGCAAAAATAGTGTAAACATTTATTTAAAAAGTAATTAATCTAAATTGATTTTTATGCTTAAAATTTGCTGATCTTTCTGTTACAGGTAAAATTACTGCTACATTTGCCATCAAGTCACCTCTAATTATGCAGTGTTGTAATGGCAATCTAAGGCATGTGTGAAAGACCAGAAAAAAGCAAGAGCAGAAGCTTTCTGGAGGGACACAGCTTTGAACTCTGAGGAAAAAAATGCTTAAGAGACAGTTTATCATTAACAGGAAGCAAATGCGGAAATTCCATCAGAATAAGATTCAGTCATTTCTGTGTAAAGTCAGGGTTTCAGAGATCCAGATGAGCTCCTAATACAGAGAAAATCGAGCCTCTCAGCCTGAGGGAGATGGGGTGCAATGAGAGAAGTGTAAAGGTGAAACAGCAGCTCCCACCTCTCCAACTCCTGCTCTGTTCCAAAACTCAGGAGGAGCTGGAGCTCCCAGGACCACATAACCAACCAGCTCAGAGCTAGTGGCATTGGGATTAATAACTAATTAGGATTGGGATTAGTAGCACCATATTTTGTGTTATTTACAGTAAAATCACTAACTTCCATATCTGAATCTTTGTATCTCTTAATTGGTAAAGAAAGCTTGAATGTTGTGGAAGGTCTTTGGGAAGTTTTTGGGCAAGACAAATGCACCTGGCATATCACACCTGCAAGTCTGTACAGGCTTGTTGGGACAAGATTTCCTGGCTGTGGTTAGCAAGAGTAGGACACAGGTTCTCTGGTGTCAGGAAAATACATGTGTCTAAAATGGAACAGGGAGCCATTCCCCAGAGGTAAGGCAGGACATTGTCTACAGAATACAAAAATAAACTCTGCTATTTCAGCATTAGTTTCAAATTTTCCCTCCATTTCTTAATTACTCAATCTTGAGGTGATGTGAATTTGATATTCAAATGGGAAACGTGTCTGTTCCACAAAGCATTTCTTACACATCACTACTCTGATACTTTACAGTGTTCATGGACAGATGCAGTAAAATAAGCAAATATTTCCATCAGCAGGA